TTTTTTGTGTCTGTGTACACGATAAGTAGTCGAAATAATGCTTCGATTTTCAACTTCAGTATCTTGTTCGATTGGAAAGTGAATATGCTTGGTGCATTGGGAAGGTCAAAATTTCCCAGTAGTTTTAAAAAGCTCCGGGAAAAACAAAAGAAAATTTAAGGAAAAACGGAAATTTTTACGCAAAATCTGTTTCGAGAAAATCAATTTTGGTTTTTGGTGTAACTTTAAAACAAATGACCGTAGATCCATGCAATTTTCAGTGGTTGTTTATATTTGCATTTTCTATACACGATAACATTTTCAAAATATTTTGATTTATTTGAACTGTTTAGGGACATTTTCAGTTTCCAATTTTATTAGTTTTTTAGATTCTGAGCGGAGCGATGAATGTATTGGTTTTACAATGATGTGTGTTTTTTTTTATATTTTTATATTTTTATATTTTTATATTTTTTTTTGTGTCTGTCATCACATTTTGGGACAGTAAAAGTGCTTGGATTTTCTTCATCAGTAGCTTTTCTGGTAGGAAAGTGAATCTAGTTGGTACTTTGGGGGGTCAAAAGTATAAATTTCCCAGTAGTTTTCACAAGCGCCGGGAAAAAACAACATAAAAATTAAGGAAAACGGGAATTTTTACGCAAAATCGGTTTTTGACAAAATCGAATATGGTTTTTGGTGTAACTTTTAAACAAATGGCCGTAGATACATGAAATTTTCACTGGTTGTTTATATTTGCATTTTCTATACACGATAACATTTTCAAAATATTTTGATTTATTTTGAACTGTTTAGAGACATTTTCATTTTTCATTTTTTTTTAGTTTTTTTTCTAGAAATATCAATAAAATTTTATTTGTTGGTTGCGAAAGCTTGAAAATTTAATAGAAGGCTCCTAATATGTTGTTTCAAAGGCAGATGAAAAATATTAAAAATCCTTAGTCACAATTTTTTTTTATAAGCATTTAAAGTTCAAAAATTGACAAAATATGGAAAAATCACGAAAATTAGCAAATTATTTTGAGTTAAGAATTCGTAAAAATTTTTCTTTTTAAATCTAAGATTTGAAAATGAAACACAAGATTCCTTATAAGATTATCTACCTTTATCAATAAAAAAATCTCTACCGGACAGTCAAATTAAATTTTTATGAGCGTTTGAAATTCAAATTTTTACAACATTGGATTTTCACTCGATTACTCATGTAGCGATTTCCTTATTTTGTTGCAATTCAAAAACGAACAACTGTAGATACATGAAAATTTCACTGAATCTTTAAATTAGCATTTTCTATACACCATACAATTTTGAAAATATTTTGACTCTTTTTGAGCTGTTTATGGACATTTACAGCTTTCAATTTTTTTTAGTTTTTTTTTCTATAAATATCAATAAAGGTGTATCTGTTGGGCCAAAAAGTGTAAAAATTTAATACAAGGCTCCTGATATATTGTTACAATAGCAGTTGAAAAATATTAAAAATACATAGACATGATTTTTTTTTATAAGCATTTAAAGTTGGAATTTTGACAAAATTTATCAAAATCTCGAAAATTATCAATCGTTGGAATTAAAAAATTATAAAATGTTCAGTTTTTATAACTAAGAATTGAAAATTTAAAACAAAGATTCTCTTAAATAATTCATACTGTAACCAAAAAATCTAAAAAATATATTAACACACTTATTTTTTACAGATATTTTAATTTCAAATTTAGACAAAATTTCATATTTAAACCAAGAATTACGATTTTAGTTATTTCGTTTTGATTGAATAATATTATTCGTGGGTACTTGAAACTTCTAAAGTGTACTATTATATATCTATGATAGTATCACAGTTTTTGTTGATGTATAACTCGTTATAAGTATCTAATGGATATTGTGATATGATTAGTTTGTAATTTATTATAGGTACCTATTATAGGTCAATTTTGGTTTAATACCATAGATATGTAGGTATATAATATGTCTTATACATAGACTGACATACCGTCACCGCTCAGAATCGTTTTTCTTATACAATGATATTATATCATTGAATTCAAATTAAATACCATCCATTATACAGTGACCCACTTGTAACCTACTGTACAGCAGAGCGACACCCACTTGCCCACCTTTTTTTTATGAATATCAATAAAAATTTATTTGTTGAGTAAAAATACTTGGAAATGTAATACAAGGCTCCTACTATATTGTTTCAAAGACAGATGAAAAATATTAAAAATCCTTAGTCACAGTTTTTTTTTATAAGCATTTAAAGTTCAAAAATTGACAAAATATGGAAAAATCACGAAAATTAGCAAATTATTTTGATTTAAGAATTCGTAAAAATTTTTCTTTTTAAATCTAAGATTTGAAAATCTAATACAAGATTACTCATAAGATTGTCTTCCTTTATCAATAAAAAAATCTCTACCAGACAGTCAAATTAAATTTTTATGAGCGTTTGAAATTCAAATTTTTACAACATTGGATATTCACTTGATTTCTTATGTAGCGATTTCCTTATTTTGTTGTAATTCAAAAACGAATAACTATAGATACATGAAAATTTCACCGAATGTTTATATTAGCATTTCCTATACACCATACAATTTTGAAAATATTTTGACTCTTTTTGAGCCGTTTACGGACATTTTCAGTTTTCAATTTTTTTAGTTTTTTTTTTCTATAAATATTAATAAAGTTTTATCTGTTGGGCCGAAAAGTGTGAAAAATTAATACAAGGCTCCTGATATATTGTTACAATATTAATTGAAAAATATTACAAATACATAGGCACAATTTTTTTTTATAAGCATTTAAAGATCGCATTTTGACAAAATTTATCAAAATCTCGAAAATTATCAATCATTGTAATTAATAAATTATAAAATGTTCAGTTTTTATAGCTAAGGATTGCAAATTTAAAACAAAGGTTCTCATAAATAGTTCATACTGTAACCAAAAAATCTAAAAAATATATGAACACAGTTATTTTTTACAGACATTTTAAATTCAAATTTGGACGAAATTACATATTAAAATCAATATTAACGATCTTTGTTTTTGTTGCAATTTAAAAATATTATTCGGGGATATATGAAACTGAAAAATCAAAATATTATGGCCTATCCATACAATCTACCATAGTATAAGGAATAAGAAGTATGCTCATGATAAGACTGTGCATATTTTAAGGAATTTATTCATAAATTCCATATAATTTAATACCATAGATATATATATAATATGTCTTAAACCTAGACTGACATACCATCTTCGCTCAGAATAGTTTTTCTTATACAATGATATTATATCATTGAATTCAAATTTAATAGCATCCATTATACAGTGACCCACTTGTAACCTACTGTACAGCAGAGCGACATCCACTTACCCACCTTTTTTAAAATAACTTTTGAAGAATTTTACAAATACTTGGTCTTGGAACAATAATATAATAAAAACTATACTATATAGTAAAAAAAAAAAAATGGTACAATAATCAATTTAAAGAAGAATAAATATAGGTAATAAAAAATTTGATTGGTTAAAATGACTAAAACAATATTTTTTTTGATAAATAATTCAAATTTTATAATGTTTGCGGAAGACACATTATTAACCTAATGATTTTGAAATTTCGAATTTTTAAATCATTGATTTAAAGTGTTTGGATATTGAAAATATTTTCTTTAAATTCAATGATTTTTTATTTGGATATTAAAAATCAACTTTTTAAGGATTTTGCTCAGCTTTGTGTGATTTTGTGGCTGTATAAATTATATAAAACTAAAGATAAACGATCGAAAATGTTTTTCCTACCTTGCAAACAAAACGTTGCTAAAAAATACAGTCAGTCCTCAAAAGATGAAAATATAGAGAAACATGGAGCAAAATGGAGACGCTAAGTTTAGGTTTTTCATAATATGGCTAAATTATTTATTTTTTGTCATATTCTTTTAATTGTCATAAAATTTCACTAAAATTATCAAGAGTCAATTTCTATAACTTTATTTTTGAATTGATGAGAAATTAAACAGTAAAAAGTCGATCAAACTTATCAATGTTATAATTAATATTTATTATATTATGATGTAAGATTAATATATTATATTCTAGTTAAAAAGCGATTGTCCACATACGACAAGACTGGGAGGCGTTCAAAATCCCTACAAATCAAAATCTGGATAGTTTAAAACGCCGGAAATTTAAAATACTTAATATTTTATTAAGTACTTATTATTGATTTTTATTTTATTATACTGTAGGTACATACATTTAATAATTTTTAGAAAATATACCTTTTTGTTGCTAATGTATGCAAAATTTTAAATAAGTACCTACCTACTTTTATCGCAGTATTAATTAAATGTTACGAATGACAAAAATTCAACTTATTAAACAAAAAAACAAACAATACAATTTTAATAAAATATTTAAATGTTCAAATATTTCATTAAATGTTCAAACTCATAAAATTGTTATGCAATGTCCATCGTCCATGTGTTAAGTATACGGCATGTCCGGCAACGCCTAATTTCGAGTCTGTGCATTTTATAATTATTGTTATTATCTCATTTCATTGCTTATAATTTATATAAATTATTACATATTTTTTAAGCGCGCGAACGGGTGCAATGCTCATTCCACACGGTCAACGTCCAAGGTCACTGTCACCTCGACTGACCGCTTACCTGTGTGCATGTGTTGTGCACTCCACCCGGTATATGAATTTAATAATATATTAATACCTATTATAATATATGCGCGATCCGGATTTCGTCCTTTCGAACGGGCAACGCCCTAGCTGTACGTAGACGCCGGAACACCCACCCCAGGACAGTAAGGTATGGGTACCTACCGTCGACTGTAAATATATAAGGACCACGGTACCAGTCATCGGCATCGCACTACATCTCCACATACATCAAGTATACACAACGACCACAGGTTGAAGTTTGCAGATTCGTTGTACTTTTAGCAACGCAAGAAGAAATCATACCAAACACGAAATGGCTTCTTTCAAGTATCTGGTGAGTGACTTTAACAGTACAATATCTCGGCGCATGTGTCTACTGTCTGCACTTGTACGGCCGTTAACATATTAGTATTTTTTTTTGCCATACAGAATATATTATTATGCTCGACTTTAGGATTTTATATTGATTCTTAAAACCGTATATGAGTTTAAAATATTCTCGCTTCAGCTATACGCCGATGTAATATTTTTTCAAAAGATCTTGACTATCGAAACAGTTAAACAATATTACATAATATATTATTAATATGTCGCATCCACTTAGTATAATAGTATTATTCATTAAATAGAAATTCTTATTTTACGCTTGGAATAATATTTTTAAACGATTACAACATAATATAGATAACTTTTCGTGAAATTGAAATAATAACATCGTCTTATGCTTATCTTATTATACAAGTATATGTTTTGTTTATTTTATTATTGGTCTACGTAGTGCGAGATGAAAAATATATGAACAGAATTTAAATTAAATTAAATTTTTAAGCTATGCAATATAATATTATTTATTAATTATTATTAAAATTGATATCTTTTGTAGGTATTAGGTACTATTTATTATTACAAAAAGTAATTATTTACTCATTGTTATTATGCATGATTATCACAAACCTATCCATATTATGATGTAATTAATTTAAAATATTAAGCAAAATGTAAAATAAGCGTTATCATTTCATACAGAATTTTTGTTTCTCCGTTTATTTTGAAAACTACAGCTATTTTTACTTTTACCCCTTCCCCTCTCAAATTACCAACTAGATCAAATTTGCTAGCAAAAACCACCCCTAAAGTGGAAATTCGTAGCATTTTTACTACCAGCGAAATGTAATTATGACAGACAGAAAAAAATACTAAACACATAATTGTCATAATTATTATAAAATTAATACATTCATCTCTTTACTCAGAATGTAAAATAAAATAATAATAAATTACAAAATGCATAATATCGAATTTTGATTCTTGGTTGAAATTCTGCACTGCAGTATTTTACTCATGTTATCAAATTCGAATTTTTTGCAATTATTATACTATAATACAGTCTATATTATTATTGTTATTTACAACTTACTCTTTACAGATATTCATCGCCTTGGCCGTATACTCCGTTGTCGCTGAAGAAGGAGTAAGAGCCAAGAAACACGCCTACGTCGCCGCTGCCCCAGCTCGTGAGTACACCGATAATATACATTTTAAGACGATAACTCACTTTTCCTTTTAAGTAGGTACTTATACACTTATATAGTCCTGGGTTAACGCACAGGCAAAGTAGGCACGCACCTAGCCAAACATATAGGGCAAGACAATCGGGGGAGCTATTTATTTTTAGCTAGGTATTCGTAGATAATGGTAATCGGATATTAAAATGTCTTATACAAAACAAAAAATGCGAATCAATTATCAATAATTAATTTTGTATTCAGATATCTAATATTTTATATAGGTTTATTATTAGTTATGATAAGTTCCATAAACAGCATAGTAGGTTTATATATTATATTTTATTCCAACGTTTAAATAATATAGTACCTACCGGTGGTATTGGAGTACATTATTTTCACAATGTTAACCCATCTTAAAAAAATAGCTGGATAGTTATTTTCCAAATCTTATTATAGTAGATAGGTACTTAAGGTGACAGTAAATGTTGCTAGTTAATGTCACGGCAGTAACTGTTATGAAACCGTCATCACGTAAATAATTCGATAGTAGTCGTGGTATCATGGCCGTACTACCACACTATCTAGCCGCGATAGATAGTTGACATTTACTATCACTGTATTGCTACCACGACAGTATAACTGTCATCGTATAAAAGGGTCCTTAAGATTTTTTTCTTTTTACCTAGTTAATGGTACTGGATAACCTTAATTTTCAGTTTTAAAACGAGTTAAAAATGCTTGCGGTCCACAGGTCCACTATGACAGAAAAAAAGATTGAAAGTTTTAGAATTATAAGTACCATTATTGACAATTGACAAATTATGTTGAATACAATATTGTTTTAAATAAAATTATAAATTACTTTAGTTCTCAAAAGCTTGGAAAAGCTATCTTACCTATCATGTACCTAACCTAATAAAATACCTACTCGAGTTTGTCAACATTTATACTTAGGTAATCACAAAAAGTTGTATTTTGTGTTGGGTCTTGGGTTCTGTAAACAAAACAATAAACGTTAAGAACTTTATTACAAAAAATATTTAAAAAAATGTGCCTAGGGCCTTAAGCTCGTTCTTAATCCAGCCCTATACCTATATGAAATCTCGTCTAAATTTGAAATGGTTCCTAAGTTAATCCAACCTAGTGACATTAATCGATAATTTTTTTTCCACAGCGGTTTTGGCTTACTCTGCCGCAGCCCCAGGATCGTTCTCGTATGGATACTCAGCATACCCAGCAGCGTACCCAGCAGCATACCCAGCAGCGTACCCAGCAGCGTACCCAGCAGCGTACCCAGCAGCGTACCCAGCAGCGTACCCAGTAACAGCTTATGCCGCCCACGAAGACGACGGCCAATACTATCCCGGCAAATACGAAAAGGCTCCCATCCCAGCAGCATACCCAGCAGCAACGGCTTATGCCGCCCACGAAGACGACGGTCAATACTATCCAGGCAAATACGAAAAGGCTCCCATCCCAGCAGCATACCCAGCAACGGCTTATGCCGCCCACGAAGACGACGGTCAATACTATCCCGGAAAATACGAAAAGGCCGCCATCCCAGCACCATACGTGATCGGACACCCCGCGAGCCACCACGAAGACGACGGTCAATACTATCCCGGCAAATACGAAAAGGCTTCCGTCCCAGCAGCGTACCCAGCAACGGCGTATGCCGCCCATGAAGACGACGGTCAATACTATCCCGGCAAATACGAAAAGCCTGAATCCCACTACTGAACACTCTCACACAACAATGATTCTCATCCTTCCGTAGTCTTTTCATTTGACTTTTATCAATAAAAACGTGATCTTAATTTTTCAAAAATTGATTTTGTAGTTATTTTTCCTCTCTCTCCAGGTTGTGACGTACAATATTAAAATATTATATTAATATTGTGCCTATTGGCTATTATACGGTTTATGATTGTATTCAAAAACACTTAAACCGCTTCCTCATAATTTTAAAAATCCCCCAAGATATACTAGATACGCAAGCTATATAATATCATAATATATATGGGCACTAAAAGTATTTAATCATACATAATACATTTTTCTTGAATTTCTCCTACATGGTTATATTATCTATATACGTAAAAGAAATATTGGCGGACTGATCCTAGCCTGAGAATCTTCCAGCGTAACAATGGCCAATGAAAAATAATAACTTATAGTTATATACGTATAATAAAAATGTTTGTATACTACTTATTCGTGATTGTGATTGAATGTTACCGCAGTAACAATAGAAGTGGGATGGAAAAGTGGCGGATCGGGGGGACAATATTACATTTTACACTTACTTAAAAAATTACTTGAATACTTTTGGTTGTTACTTTTACTTTTTAAGCCATCCGACCAATCTGTTTACGAGTTCCCCCGTTTAAATTTGCTCAGTATTTCTAATCGATTGATACATTATGAAGGGCCTACTATGTTCAGCCGTTTGCCCTGTAGAGAGGGCCGATGGATCAGCACAAAATTAGCACGGTTTATCGATGGCACAACTCTGGCTCCTATAAATAATAAACTAATATACGTTAGTGGCAACTAGATTTTTTTTACTTAGCTTCGAGCTATACTACCGTCACCCTGGATTATATGTGTGAGCGAAATACGGCTCCGTACTAGAAAGTTAATAATATAGGTACTGAGATGAGCTCCATTGTATATTTATTAATGTTGTAAATAAGATAATTCTAGGCGAAACAAAGTTTTAGATTCTGAGTGAAACGATGAATGTATTGATTTTACAATGATGTGTGTTTTTTTTTGTTTTGGGACAGTAAAAGTGCTTGGATTTTCTTCAACAGTAGCTTTTCTGATAGATCAAATTTTAAAATTCCCAATAGTTTTCACAAGCGCCAAAAAGTGTAAAAATTTAATACAAGGCTCCTGATATATTGTTACAATAGCAATTGAAAAATGTTTAAAATACATAGGCACAGTTTATTTTTATAGTCATTTTAAGTTCAAATTTGGATGAAATTACATATTAAAAACCTAGAATAACTATTTAAGTTATTTTGTTGTGGTTGTATAATATTATTCGTGGGAACTTGAAACTTCTAAAGTACACTATTATATATCTATGATAGTATCAGGGTTTGTTGTTGATGTATAACGCGTTATAAGTACTTAATGGATATTGTGATATGATTAATTTGGAATTCATTATAGGTCAATTTTTTTTAATAATATAGATAAGTATATAATATGTCTTATACCTAGACTGTCATACCGTCTCCGCTCAGAATCGTTTTTCTTATACAATAATATTATATCATTGAATTCAAATTTAATACCATCCATTATACAGTGACCCATTTGTAACCTAATGTGCTTATAAAAAAAAAATTTTGACGAAGGATTTTAAATATTTTTCAAATGTCATTGTAAAAATAAAGGAAGAGCCTTGTATTACATTTTCAAGTATTTTTCCTCAACAAATATAGTTTTATTGACAGTCATAAAAAAAAAATTAATAAATTTGGAAATTGAAAATGTCCCTAAACAGTTCAAAACGTTTTGAATATTTTATCGTGGATAGAAAATGCAAATATAAATAACCAGTGAAAATGTCATATACATACGTTCATTTGTTTTAGAGTTACACCATAAACCAAAGTGGATTTTGTGGAAAACCGATTTTGCGTCAAAATTCCCATTTTTCCTTAATTTTTATGTTGTTTCTCCCCGTGCTTTTGAAAACTATTTTGAATTTTAAAATTTGACCTCCCAAATGCACCAACTAGATTCACTTTCCCATCGAACAAGATACTGTTGAAGAAAATCGAAGCAGTCTTACTGCCCCAAACGTGATGACGGACACACAAAAAAAAATAATACACATTATTGTAAAATCAATACATTCATCGTTCCACTCAGAATCTAAAATGTGATAATCGGGGATAAACGCATGAACAATTCGGGTGGTGAGGTTTGAAAAAATTTTATAATCTTTGTACCTTATACCATTGATTTTAAAATATACAGATAATCCAAGGCAAAAAATCGGCAACAGTTAGTCGCTGGCATACATGATATAATAATATAATTTTAAACACAGAAAATTTAAACACAATACCTGTCACATTAGAGGATTGTTCGGTGACATATTTCGCTGGATATCTAGCATTAAAATGTATCAAAAAATTTAATTGTGAATATTGTAAGGATCAATTGATTATAGAGAAAGATTTAGGTAAATGATAAGAATCAAATACTTATTATAAATAAAAATTATTTATCATTTAACACGGGACTATAGTCACCGGCGAAAATATTTATAATATTTTAAATATTTTTGAAAACAATTTTAACAACTTGAAACATAAAAAAAGGTGGGTAAGTGGATGTCGCTCTGCTGTACAGTAGGTTACAAGTGGGTCACTGTATAATGGATGCTTTTAAATTTGAATTCAATGATACAATATCATTGTATAAGAAAAACGATTCTGAGCGAAGACGGTATGTTAGTCTAGGTTTAAGACAAATTATATACATATCTATGGTATTAAAAAAAAAATTGACCTAAAATAAATTCCAAATTAATCATATCACAATATCCATTAGGTACTTATAACACGTTATACACCAACAACAAACCCTGATACTATCATATATATATAGTAGTACACTTTAGAAGTTTCAAGTAGGTACCCACGAATAATATTATATAATCACAACAAAATAACTAGGTTTTTTAATATGTAATTTCGTCCAAATTTGAACATAAAATGACTATAAAAATAAACTGTGATTGTATATTTTTTAGATTTTTCGGTAAGAGAATTAACTACTTACGTGGAATCTTGTTTTAAATTTTCAATCCTTAGCTATAAAAACTGAACATTTTATAATTTATTAATTACGATGATTAATAATTTTCGAGATTTTGAAAAATTCTATCAAAATTCAATGTTAAAATGCTTATAAAAAAAAATGTGCCTATGTATTTTTAATATTTTTCAACTGATATTGTAACAATATATCAGGAGCCTTGTATTAAATTTTTACACTTTTTGGCTCAACAGATAAAACTTAATTGATATTTATAGAAAAAAAAACTAAAAAAATTGAAAGCTGTAAATGTCCATAAACAGCTCAAAAAGAGTCAAAATATTTTCAAAATTGTATGGTGTATAGGAAATGCTAATATAAACATTCAGTGAATTTTTCATGTATCTACAGTTGTTCGTTTTTGAATTGCAACAAAATAAGGAAATCGCTACATGCGTAATCGAGTGAATATCCAATGTTGTAAAAATTTGAATTTCAAACGCTCATAAAAATTTAATTTGACTTTCCGGTAGAAATTTTTTTATTGATAAAGGTAGACAATCTTATGAGTAATCTTGTATTAGATTTTCAAATCTTAGATTTAAAAAGAAAAATTTTTACGAATTCTTAACTCAAAATAATTTGCTAATTTTCGTGATTTTTCCATATTTTGTCAATTTTTGAACTTTAAATGCTTATAAAAAAAAATTGTGACTAAGGATTTTTAATATTTTTCATCTGCCTTTGAAACAACATATTAGGAGCCTTCTATTAAATTTTCAAGCTTTCGCAACCAACAAATAAAATTTTATTGATATTTTTAGAAAAAAAACTAAAAAAAAATGGAAAATGAAAATGTCCCTAAACAGTTCAAAATAAATCAAAATATTTTGAAAATGTTATCGTGTATAGAAAATGCAAATATAAACAACCAGTGAAAATTTCATGTATCTACGGTCATTTGTTTTAAAGTTACACCAAAAACCAGAATCGATTTTTTGGAAAACCGATTTTGCGTAAAAATTCCCGTTTTTCCTTAATTTTTATGTTGTTTTTCCCGGCGCTCTTGAAAACTACTGGGAAATTTAAATTTTGACCTCCCCAATGCACCAACGATATTCACTTTCCAATCGAACAAGATACTGAAGTCGAAAATCGAAGCATTATTTCGACTACTTATTGTGTACACAGACACAAAAAAAATAAATATAAAAATAAAAAAATAAATAAAAAAATAAAAAAAATAAAAAAAAAAACACACATCATTGTAAAATCAATACATTCATCGTTTCACTCAGAATCTAAAAAAAAATCAGGAATAATTTAACCAACAAAATACAAAGCAATGAGAAAATTAAAGCATGGGTTAAAATTAATCCCGAATGTGTTGAACATAAATTATACATTATAGAACAACTTTTGATTTATAAAATATTTAAAAAAAAACTAAACTTTAAGCAACAACATCAAAATTAGTGAAGTCGAAAAATTAAAAATGTTAGAACACTTAACTTAAAATAAGATATTTAAAGCTTATTTTTATACAATACATTATATTATTATATTCAATAAAGATTATATTCGATACTTATTATCAAAAATCTGACAGTTTATGACATATGACACATGACATTAATTATACATAAAAAATAATATGAATTTTGTTTATAACATTTTTATTTTACTTTGTAAGGGTGGGCTAATACAATATAATCAATGGTATAACTTGCCTTAGGTTAGATTATTTATTTAAGTTTATGTGTGTATTTTTAAAAACAATTTACTAGGTACCTCTATTGACCGTTTGATTTACATGTAGGTATATTATTAATATTTTACTTTTTATATGGCATAATATTAGTTATTTAAGTTTACGTGTGTTATTTTTAAAATCAATGACTTGAAAAATAAATTTCATATTTTTTTTATTCAAGCATTTAGTGTTAGATGTATGC